GGATGCTGGCACAGCAGGTGGTGGCTTCACCTGCTAAAGCACAGCACCAGCTCCTGTGTGAGCTTTTATTTAGAATGCTGAGATTGAATGGTGGAATTCGCGGCAAGGTCATAGCATCAGCTGGAGTTTGAGTGAGCCATGGAAGCCCCAGCCTGGGCCAGGGTCTTCTCCACTCCACAAGGGTGGCCCTCCATCCTGAGTCGGGTCTGGTCCTGGTTGTTCCCATGCTCAGATGCTGCCCCCCAGTCAAAATCTCTGAGCTGGAACCAGTGTTTGCACTCTGCCCTGCTGTAAGGACAGAGCTGCCTTCCCACGTCTCAGACACCCCCAAGCCTTCAAACACGAGTGTCAGCTTCAGCAGGTTCCTGAGCACCACATGGTTTCTCTCCCAGCCCCATGCTGCAAAGTCTAGCCTGCTTGCCACAGAGCCCCGCTGCTCTCCAGACCCTGACCCCACCAACGGCAGTGTGTCAGAGCCATCAGAAACCTGTAGCCATCAGGGGTCTTTCCACAATTCTTTCCACCAAACTTTTTTTTTTAAATATTTATGTATTTATTTGAAGGCAGAGTTACAGAGAGGCAGAGGTAGAGACAGAGAGGTCTTCTATCCGCTGGTTCACTCCAAATGGCCGCAACAGCTGGAGCTGCTCCAATCTGACCAGGAGCCAAGAGCTTCTTCCGGGTCTTCCACATGGGTGCAGGGGCCCAAGGACTTGGGCCATCTTCTATTGCCTTCCCAGGCCATAGCATAGAGCTGGAGGGGAAGTAGAGCAGCCGGGACTTGAACCAGTGTCCAAATGGGATCCTGGCACTGCAGGCATCAGCTTTACCTGCTTAACTACAGTGCCGGCCCCTTTCCTCATATTTTTTGGGTGAATCTTTGGCAGTTCTTGTTTTGAGGCTCTGTTGAACTACACTGGGTATCATGTGTGTTCTCACTAGAAGTTCTGTGGGCTCATGTTTGGGACCCTAGGCTGCTATTATAGACATATAGGTGACAGATAGATGATGTAGATGATGGACTGATGGATGATAAGATATCTAGATGACAGATGATTAGATAGATAGATTAGATAGATGATTAGATAGATGATAATATAGGCACATTCTAGATAGATAAATGGGTAGATAGATGATAGATGATAGAGACAGGCAGATGTAGGTGGAGGTTGATTGATAGATGATAGAAGGGCCGGCGCTGTGGCGTAGTGGGTAGAGCAGCTGCCTGCAGTGCCAGCATCTCATATGGGCGCCAGTTAGAGGTCCAGCTGCTCTACTTCCAGTCCAGCTCTCTACTATGGCCTCGGAAAGCAGTGGAAGATGGTCCAATTCCTTGGGCCCCTGCACCCACCTGGGAGACCTGGAAGAAGCCCCTGGCTGCTGGCTTCGGATTGGTGCAACTCCGGCGGTTGTGGCCAATTGGAGAGAACCAGAGGATGAAAGACTCTCTCTCTCTCTCTCTCTCTCTCTCTCTCTCCCTCTCTCTCTCTCTGCCTCTCCTTCTCTCTCTGTAACTCTGACTTTCAAATAAATAAATCTTTTAAAAAAGATAGATGACAGAGATAGGTAGATATAAATAGATGACTGAGAGAGACAGGCAGATGCAAGGAGAGACTGATAGATGACAGATGGAGATAGGCAGACACAGACATAGATAGATGATAGAAATAGGCAGATGCAGGGAGAGATTGATTGATAGATGATAGAGATAGGTAGACAGAGAGATGATAGAGAGATGATAGAGCTAGGTGATAAATGATAATATAGCTAGATTGTGCACAGAGAGATGGATAGATGATAGAGATAGGTGGGTAGATAGATGATTGATAGATAGGCTATGCAGGTAGAAATTGATTGATGGATGGACAGATGACAGATGGAGATAGGTGGATACAGGTGTAGACAGGTGGCTGTAGATTGATTCTTGATGTCTGATTCCTGCTTTTGGGTGAGGACTGATTCTGAGCCTTTACCTCTGACTGGGGAAGAATAGGGACTTTGATTTCTCATGGAAGACTTTCATTTACCACCCACAAGCTCAGCTCAGCAGCCAGCATCCACGCGACTCCATGGGGCACAGGAGGAGTGTGTCTGTCACCCTCTCAAGATGTCATCTGCGCCGCGCAGCCTAGGATTTTGCAACTTTCTGCCTCCTCTTGGCCAGGGCCACACCTCTCCTGCTCAGCGGCCTCACAGGAGCGTCCTGGGCCTGCTCTTAGTGGGAGCTTCCTCCTCTTTCCCCTCCATGGGGCAGTGGTAGGGGCGGGGGGGAGGGGGGCTTGAGCTCCTTCACAGTGCTATAGCCAGAACTACTTTTGTCCACTGTTTCTAGTGCATTCCAAGGTAGCCGTACACCTGACATGAAGATTCTCTGAATTACTAATATTGGTTACAGAACTACCCAACCCATTTATTTCATTCATGCACTTGAAGTCCTCCTCTACCCAGAGTGGGGGCCCCAAGCCACTCAGCTGCCCCTCCTCACCCTGCAGGACCGGGGTCCCCTGCCCAGTCCCAACTTCGGTCCCACCCTCTGCGGCACCCCTGCTCACGGGACAGGCCCCTGAGCACAGGGATTCACAGAGCACTGAGGAGCCAGGAGGGGCGCACTCCTGCAAACTGCCATGAGCAGGTCTCACACAACCTCAGGAGGAGCACTTGGGGTCCCAGGGAGTGACCTGCGTACCTCTGAATACAGCCAACGCCACTGTTGACGCTGAAGGCATGGAAACACAGTGCACATGGTGACAGGGGCCGTGCAAAAGGGAGGTGGAAGGAGGGCGAGAAAAGGGGGACAGTGACCCAACCCTCGGTCAGCCCCATGGGCTGCTCGGGTTTGTAGGACAGAGGGGCTATGGGAGAAAGCCTGGTCCAGCTCTCTTCACAGGCTCTTGGAGAGAACAAAGGCATAAAGCACCTGCTCAGGGCGGGGGTGAGCTGGGCCCTGGGCCGGAGCAGGGGCTGGAGAGAGCAGGAGACACAGGCAAAGGCCGTGCTGGCTCAGGGGGAGGCCGGTGCACTGACACACACACTCCTGCAGAGGGTGCCGAGGAGCCAGTGGCCTGTGCAGCTGCTGCTTGGGGGGTTTGCTTGGCTTGGCAACCTCACCCCACCCACAGACGGCAGGTGTCGGCTTCTTTCACTTCCTTCTCTCTTCCCTCCCTTTTCTTTTGCTTTTTTCTTTTCTTTTTGTTCTTCCTTTTCTTTCTTCTTCAACTGAAGTGAAAATCTGTAACATAAAAGCACACCGTTGGTGTAAGGGTACTTCAAAAGATAAGTGTAAAATATGACAAAATAAATTTATTGTTGGTGCAAAAATTTTGTAATAACGCATATGATGGGTCTTCAGAAAGTTCACAAAAGGGGCTAGCGTGGGGTGCAGGGGGTTAAACTGCTGCTTGAGACACAAGCATCCCACACTGGGACACTGGTTCAAGTCCTGGCTGCTCCAGTTTGGATCCAGCTCTCTGCTAATGGCCTGGGAGAGCAGCAGATGATGACTCAAGTGCTTGGGCTCCTGCCGCCCATGTGGGAGACCAGGATGGAGTTCCAGGCTCCTGGTTCCAGCCATGGCTGTTGCTGCCCTTTAGGGAGTGAACCAGCAGATGGAAGATTCTCTCTCGCCTCTCTCTCTCTCTCATCTTTTATTGAAAGGTTCATGAAAATGTGTATTATGAAAAACCATGCGTAACTTTTTGAAGCACGTTCACAATTCCAAAGTGTTTTTATTTTCCTAAAGTAAAATCCCCAGCCTGTTAAAATCAGGTAGACATTAGCCTATGTGTGTACGAGGGGCCACAGAAAAATGGTGATTTCTGGAAGGAAACAGAAATTTTTGTGTGGTCGAATGAGGGAGAAACGTGACAGCAAGCAAAGCCTTGCTTTTGTGCCCAGACCTCGCAAGGAGGGTCCCAGCCCCAGCTTGGGTGGGCGGGGGGGGCAGCTTACAGGGCTCTGCCCCACCTTGCTCGGGGGGCTCTTGGGCGACCGTGGAGCTGGGGAGGAATTTCAGGAACTCTCAGCCAGAGAGCCCTCCATGGGGAGCACAAATGGAGGGTCCCCCACATCCACGAGAACACCAGCGTGAATGCAGACCGGGCCGGCTTGTGCCGTGCGCCCTTGGCATCACACTGGGCATCGTGCCTCCTGCTGCTGCATCTCAGCCTGCAGACCCTCAGAGCAGCTGAGCAGGCGCAGGTCACAGGCCCTTCTCCCCCACCCCATCTCCTCAGCCCCGTCCGGTCATCTCCTGGCCAGAATCACACGGTGTGGTCCTGTCCTGGGGGTCAGTCTGCAAACACAGGGAGGCGGCCGTGGGCCATGTCCAGGCAGCAGGCCCCGCTCTTCCCTCACCCCCTCCCCGAGTGCACGGGGCTCTTGGTCTCTTGGACAAGCGTCGCCCTCTGCTCCTGTCTGAGGAGCCATGGTGAAGCCCCCATCCTCCTTCCCATCTCACAAGGACGGCGAGGCCTGGGGGATGATGGTTGGGCACAGGCGCCCCCTGCACAGGCTCACAGGGACACCACCTGGGGAGGGCCGGGGGCTGGGCCCGGAGCCCTCAGCACTGACTGCTGACGCGGGCCCTGGCCTCATGCTGGCCAGCAGCCCTTCCCTGTGTGCTGTGTGTCTGTTCCCATAGAGCCTTGCCAGGCATGCCCCAGTATCTCCATCAATGAGGAGAGAAGAGGAAGCTTGACACTTGGCTGTGGGAGATCCGACCCCAGAAGCAGCCCCAGGGAGGCTTCCCTCAAGGACCCCACAGCCACAGGGACAGGGAGGGGACAGGAAGGAGGTGGCCTGAATTTCACCATCCCTGGAGTCTCCGCAGGCAGTGCCAGAATTGGGCAGATTTCAACACCATGGTAAACAACTTTCCCCAAGGAACTGGACAGGTCTGCAGGTCCTAGATAAGTAAGGGACTTTATCTGAGTTCCCCAGCTTCTATCCTTGGCTGGGACCCATGTGGAAAGTCCCCTGTCCTTCTTAGGTTCCCGGTGGAGGCCAAAGCTGGCCCTGGTGGCCATCCTCGTGTCACCTCACCTGGCCAGGGCCTCTGCCCTTATCTCCTGGTGCCAGCATCGTCCACTTCTGCTGACCACACCCCCAGGAAGCACTTGTGTGTGTGTGTGTGTGTGTGTGTGTTGCAACTGCCAAAACAGCACAGCTGGTTATTTTTGCAAAACAGAAAAATAAACGTAGCAGGAGGATTCAGTGGAAGCCTGGAGCTTGGCTGCTCCCAGGGACTGCCCCCCCGCCTCTGGCAAATGCAAGACTCTCCTGGAATCACCAGATTTCCTGGAAGCTGGCCGCGGATCACCACTAGGTGAGGATTTCTGTTACCCCGGCTCCGTGGGGCCTCTGCTCTGCTCTCTCTTCAGCCTCGAGGGACAGGGAGCCCCCAGGGGAACCCCCAAAGACTTTCCTGCAGCCGCAGAGTGTGTGGCTCCACCGAGCACCCTGATGACCAGAGGCCTGGAGTACGGCAACTTGCCGGCCAGGGCTCAGGAACCTCCTGCCCCCGTCCCCAGGGAGACAACAGGGAAGGGGGGATCCTGTCCCCCAGGGAGACGACAGGGAAGGGGGACTCCTGTTCCTATCCCCCAGGGAGACCACAGGAAAGGGGGGCTCCTGTCCCTATCCCCCAGGGAGACAACAGGGAATGGGGGTTCCTGTCCCCTAGGGAGGTGACAGGGAAGGGGGGCTCCTGAAGGGGAGCTCCTGTACCTGTCCTCCAGGGAGGAGACAGGGAAGTAGGGTGTGGGGGCTCTGGACGCAGTTCCGATCTCGGTGAGGAGGTGAGAGGGGCCCCCGTGGTGGAAGGATGCAAGGCTGAGCCCTGTCAGGGCCGTGAGCGGTGACTCTTCCTTCCTCCCATCAGCTCCTGACAGTGCTCCTCTCCCACCTGGGCCAGGCGGGCACCTCAGAGCCCTCTGTGCCCAGGGCCATGGCAAAGGCAGGCAGTGGGGGTGTCTTCCTGCACAGCTGCGCCGTCTCCCTCCTCGCCCTGCAGCTCCTGCCAGCTGGGGAAGGTGAGAGTCCGCCCCGCAGAGGGGCCCGGGGAGCCCAGCCGGGTGGCCTGGGAGACAGGCGGGTGGGCACCAACTCCCTGACCCATGCCTCACCTCGCCCTTCGCTCCTGCCTCCCAAGGGAAAGCCGATTTCAAGGTCCTTGGGCCAGACGGCCCCATCCTGGCCACCGTGGGGGAAGACGCATTGCTGCCCTGCAGACTGTCCCTCAACCTCAGCGCGGAGGACATGGAGCTGAGGTGGTACAGAAGCCGGCCCTCGCCCGCTGTGTACCTGCACAGGCGCGGAGCACAGGTGTCCAGAGAGCAGATGGCAGAGTACCGGGGGAGGACGACTTTCCTGGGCGACCACCTGGCCAGGGGCGAAGCTGTGCTGGGGATTCACAACGTCACTGTGTATGACAACGGGACCTACCCCTGCCTCTTCAGGGACGGGGAGCCTCACAGCGAGACCACCCTGGCGCTGCAGGTGGCAGGTGAGGGCTGCCTCAGCCTCCGCCTCCCTGGGAGCGCCTCTCCCAAGTTCCCGGTCCCAGCTCCAGGCTTGGGCTACCATCCACAGTGCGCAGTGTGGGAGCGTCCCCACGTCCTCACATCCCCACCTGCCCACGCTGTGTCCCAGGAGGTGCAGCCTGCCTTCCCACCATTACTGGGAAAGGCAGAAGGCAGGGAGCCAGGGAAGGAGAGGACCAGCTGGGGAGAGGGAGGGGAGACAGAGTGCAGAGGGGAAGGGGAGACAGGAAGGGAGACAGGGACAGGCCAGGGCGGGCAGAGGAGCTGGGGACGTGGAGGGGGCATTCTGCTCTGCAGTCAGCCCTGCCTGGGCTCCTTCCTGTTCCCCACCCTTCCCGACTTGCAACACGGGAAACTCCCGCTGACTCTCCAAGACTCTTTTCTGCTCTGTTGTATGTAGGTGATTGGTGAAACTATGCAAGCACCTCTGGAACCCTCATAACACATCTGGCATTGGCAGCATCCCTGGACTGAGGCTCTGTGTCTCCCCCAGGGCTGGGCTTGGAGCCCAGAATCCATGTGACCGAGGACCTGGACAAGGGCATCCGAGCCGAGTGCACCTCAGCAGGCTAGTACCCAGAGCCTCACGTGGAGTGGAGAGACTTCAGGGGGCATGCAGTGCCGGCTGTGACCCGTTTCTCAGCCTCAGCCACCACTGGCCTCTTGGCTGTGCTGTCCAGGGTGGCCGTCCCAGACAGGAGCATGGGGGGGTCTCACCTGCTCCATCTCCAGCCCCCTGCTCCATGAGAGGAAGGTAGCTGAGAGCCACCTGCCCGGTGAGTGTTCTGTGTGGCTCCAAGCACGGGTGTGTGTGGCCCTGTGTGACGGGACACTGGAGCTTCTGTCTGTGGCCCTGCAGTGGGAGAGGGGAGGGTCCTGGGTGTTGACTGCGAGGGCGGAGTACAGATGGGGGTGCAGACAGCCACTGGGCAGAGAGACCGAGAAAGTTGTGCCCTGACATCGGCTTCCTGTTTGGTTCTTTCCATGTCTCTGGTTTCATAGCAAATTGGAGCAGGATGCATGTAGATGTCCCAGCACACAGTTGCTCCCCACAGCAGGAGAGGTGTGAGTGTCACAGCTGCCAGCACCAGCGTCCCCCAGAGTCCACAGTTCAGCTAAGGGTTGGACCCCATGGGTCTGGACAGATCTGTCTGCCTGAGTCCACCAGCACAGCTGCTGCCCTGAGAGCCCCCCGTGTCCCCCCCAGCCCCTCCCCTCTTATTGCTCGTGGTCTCTACAGTTCCCAGAGCGAGAGCCCAGTGGATGGTGTCCTCCGCAGCCCCCTCCTTGAACTGCACCTGCATTTCCTGCACGTCCGCCCACGGCTCCCTGCTCTTCCTTTTGCCCTAAGTCCACCCCTGGTGTCACTCACACACTGCACCTGCCCATGCATTCTTGGCTGTGTCCAGGTTTAACTTTTCCCAGACCATCCTCTCTGGCTTCTCGGGCACCACGTCCACCGCGTGGTCCTACATTTCTATCACGGCTCGTACACAAGTGTCTGTCCCCGGATGACCTGGTCCCCCTCAGCTCTGCCATAGGGCAGCTTCTGGCCCCTGGAGCTCACTCCTCCCAGCTCTGCTGCTGGGGAAATCCGAGAAGAGAGTGGGGAGGCTGGGGGGCAGAGGACAGGGCAGCTGCTTCCCGCTCATAGGCAGGGTCCTCTCCTGGGTCCCATTTATTATGGGAGCTCCACTTCATGATGTATCACGTCACAAAAGCCCCAGCTCACTGTGGGGTGACGGTCCCAGCTCCTGACACCAGCACTCTGGGGTGAGGGTCCCAGCTCCTGACTCCCACTGTGGGGTGAGGGTCCCAGCTCCTGACACCAGCACTCTGGGGCGAGGGTCCCAGCTCCTGACACCAGCACTCTGGGGTGAGGGTCCCAGCTCCTGACTCTCACTGTGAGGTGAGGGTCCTAGCTCCTGATTCCCACTGTGGGGTGAGGGTCCCAGCTCCTGACTCTCACTGTGGGGTGAAGTCCCAGCTCCTGACACCAGCACTCTGGGGTGAGGGCCCCACCACGTTTGGGAAGACCCTCCCTCAGACCCGGCCCCATCGTGCATGTGAATGAGCATCCATTTCTGAACTGTTTCAGAGCAGGCTGGAGACCTGGTACCCCTGACTCAGATCCTGCAGCAGGGCCTGAGACAGGGACTCTCATCCCGATGTGCTTGGATCCCCAGGGTCCCCGTGGGCCTCCCTCTCAGGACGGCCCCACCCTCCGCGTGGAGGATGCCCCTGTTTCTGATCCTCATTGTGCTGGGGCTCATCATAGCTGGGGGTCTCTGCCTCTGCCCGAAGCTGAACCGGGAAGAGAGCGAGGAGCAGCCGGAGAAAGGGAGGCAGCAGGAAGAACAGGAGCTGGGGCCTGGAGCCAGCTGCGACAGGATTGAGCCATTCCAGGGTGAGTGGGAGTGGGGAGCTGGGCAGGACCCCCGCTGTCACTCACCTGGGCCTTCTGAACCAGCTTTGTTCTGTCCTGGGGTGGGGCAGGGGCTTGTGGAGGGGCCGGCTGCCTGGCAAGAACCTGCAGTCTCAGGCTTCACACTGTTCTTCCCGCCTGGTCCCCCTGGTTGTCCTCCCTGATGGACACAGGGGCATCTGAGCTTGAGGCTATAGTGACTGCCCGGGCTGGGGAATGGGCTCCTTTAGCTGTCCCAGGTGGCTCCCTGGATCGGCCTCTACTGTGTTGTGGGGATGGCACCATGGTGGGAGGAGAGGCAGACAGGAAGGAGAGGGCACAGCAGCCCCTAAAGGAGCCAGCCGGGTGCCACGAGAACACCCCTCCTTCCTGAGGGCAGCACACACAGCGGCTGTGCATTGGCCCCTCACAGGCCCACCACCTCCACACCAGGACCGCGGCCAGCACAGGAGGCCCCGGGGGCACCGTCAGAGCCTGTCCAGCCTGGCAGTGCGGGCTGCAGCCTCGGCGTGAGCTCCTTGGAGTCCAGGGACGGGGCGTGTTCTGTGACAGGTGATGCCAGGGGAACTCAGTGAGCTCTCGTGCGATTTCGCTGCTTCCAGAACACGAGGCTGGGCTGGGTTTCCATCAGCCAGACCCCAAGACACCACAGCCTCCTGCATCACTGCAGAAACAAGTCCCTCCATCGGAAATGGCCGGTGGGGGTGGAGTCCTTGGAGCCAGGTGCCCCAGGGGACAAGGAGAGGACAGGAGCCCCTTCTTCTAGGGCGGTGGGCATGGTTTCCCTCCCACACTCATTTCTGACAGAGTGAGAAGCCCAGAGTTACTCAAGAGGATGCTGGACAGGGGTGGGTGAGAGCACAGGTGTCCTGAGGCTTGTCCTCAGGCGTGAGTGCATGTGTGCAGGCGTGTGGGTGTGTGTGAGCAGTGTCCAGGCCTTGCATGAGCATGTGCACGAGGTCATGTGTGTGCACATGGAGGTGGTATACACGCATACATGTGTGCATTGTAATGTGTGTGCATTGTAAAGTGTGTGCATGGGTGTGTGTTCCCATCTAAAAGAGCACAGGTTTCATGTCAGACGCTGGGAAGTGGGCACAGAGGCCTGGGAAGGAAGACCCTGGCTCCTTTTGCTCTTGCAAAGTCCAAGGAGAGGCAAATACACAGGTGCACACACATGCTGGCATGCGCTCTTGCACACAGACACATGCACACATGCTAGAGTGCTCTCTCACACACACATATACACAAGATGGCGCTGGCATACTCTCACACAGACACACACATTGGTTTACTCTCACAATGCACACACATGCTGGCGTGCTCTCTCACACACAGAAATGTTTGTGTGCTCCCTCACACATAGACACACATGCACACACACTGGCACTGTCACACACACAGGTACACACTGGCATGCTCTCTCACACACACATCACACCCACACACTGGCACTGTCTCACAGACACACACACACACACTCTGTGCACTCAGCCAGGTCTCTGCCACCCCAGAAGCAGATCCCTATCACCTGCTTGGGCTGATGGCTGGCAGGAACACAGGAAGAGTACAGGGGTCCCATTGTGGGGCAGACCCTGACATTCCTGTGCATGAGGGACGGCGGACCCACCCCTGATGCCTGTCCCTGGCCTCTTTCCATAGTGAGTCCCTCGCTGGACCCCACCACAGCCAGCCCCAGGCTCTCCCTGTCTGAGGATCAGAAGAGCATGAGGCGGCTGCTCTTCGACCAGGACCTGCCCCCCTGTGCCAGTAGCTTTGATCAGGACCCCTGTGTGCTGGCCTGGGAGCAGTTCTTTGCCGGGCAGTACTACTGGGAGGTCGAGGTGGGGGATGGGAAGGCCTGGACACTGGGCATGTGTCTGGGCAGTGTGGGCCGGGAGGGCAGGGTCCCCAAGGCCCCCCAGCATGGCCTCTGGGTAGTGGAGTATTACGAGGAGCGACTCCAGGCCCTGTGCTATCCCAGGACGTGGCTCTGGCCTCTCTGGTGCCTCTGTCGGGTGGGCATTTTCCTGGATTGTGATGGGAGATTTTCTTCTAAAAAATATTTCCTTATTAGATAGGCAGAGGGACAGAGACAGAGAGAACAAGCTCCCATCTGATCTTTCACTCCTGAAATATCCTGACTCTGGGAGCCAGGGACCCAATCCCAGTCTCCCATGTGCGAATCCCATTTCTGGGGTCATCACTGTGGACTGCCGGAGTCTGCGTTAGCAGGAAGCTGAACCAGGAGGCAGAGCTAGGGATCCAACACATGCTCTCTGAGGTGGGCCACAGGTTTCCCGAACAGTGTCTTATCTGCCAAGCCAAACCCCTGCCCCTAAGGTTTTATTTATTTATTTTTTTAATTTTAAAGTTGGAATAGTGTTGGCCTTTCTGTTACAGTACTGAAAACATAGGCACAATTAAAACGACAAGCCCGGGGTGCAAGCTTGGCTCAGCGGTTACAACATCGCTTGGATGCCTGCATCCCAGATCATGGTGCTGGGTTCAAGTCCCAGCTCTGTTCCTGGGAGATGCCAGCTTCCTGCTGATTGAACCCTGGGAGACAGCAGGTGATGGCTCAAGTACCTGGGCCCGTGCCACCCACCTAGAGACCCACGGAGTTTCTGATTCCAGCCTGACCCAGCGCTGGCTACTGGGGCATCTGGGGAGTGAACCAGTGGATGGGAGATGAAGCTCTGCACCTCCCTCCCTGCTCCTCCAACCTCCCCCTCCTTCCCTCTTTCCTCCCCCTCCAGCTTCCATATAAAATGAATACAACTAAGTAAATAAGTAAACCTCAAGACACTTTAAAAGAAAAAAAGGAGCCCCTTGGAAAATGGTAGGAAAAAGAAGTAAGTGAGCTAACAAGATGGACCCAGATTGGCCAATGCAGCTGTGAAGGTTATTGAACTACTGTTAACTTTCTCTGGTGTTACAGAGCAGTTTCTCAGCCATGGCATTAATATTTTGTCCATATCATTCTCTGTCATGTGGGGCTATGTGTGCACTTTATGCTATGGGGCTGTGTGCATTTCCTTTTAATTTGTTATTTAATTATTTTTTTTAAATTTTTGACAGGCAGAGTTAGACAGTGAGAGAAAGAGACAGAGAGAAAGATCTTCCTTCAGTACGTTCACCCTCCAAATGCCCTCCGTGGCCAGTGTGCTGTGCCGATCCGAAGCCAGGAGTTAGGTGCTGCCTCCTGGTCTCCCATGTGGGTGCAGGGCCCAAGCATTTGGGCCATCCTCCACTGCCTTCCCGGGCCAGAGCAGAGAGCTGGACTGGAAGAGGAACAACTGGGACAGAACCGGTGCCCCAACCAGGACTGGAACCCAGGGTACCAGCGCCGCAGGCAGAGGATTACTCTAGTGAGCCACAGTGCCAGCCTATTTAATTATTTTTTAATTTATTTGAAAAGCAGAGTTAGAGGGATGAGAGAGATAGAGAAAGAGAGTGAGAGTGAGAGCAAGAGACCGAGAGCGAGAGAGAGACAGATCCTCCATCAGCTGGTTTACTCCCCAAATGGCCACAATGGCCAGGGCTGTGCCAGGCCAAAGCCAGGAGGCTGGAGCTTCTTCCAGGTCTCCTACAAGCACTTGGGTCATCTCCCACTGCTTTCCCGGGTGCATTAAAGGGAGCTGGATTGGAAGTGCAGCAGCTGGGTGTTGCAGCACGCCCAAGCAGGATGCCGGCATCACTGTGCCACCATGCCTGCCCCTGTCTGCCTTGCTCTGGACCCTCCCCTCCCTCTGGGTGCCCTGCACACAGTGACCAGCCAGCCTGCCTTCTGCGCCGTGCTCCTCCTGACTCATTCTCGCTGGTGCACATGCGTCTGTCCCTGGAGGCTGCCTGTGGGTTACCTCACCCCTTCGCTGGGTGCATCAGTGCTGCCCTTGCTGCATCCCTTCTCAGGGGGGTGCAGGGAGCCGATGCCCACCTCACTCTACGCCTTCAGAGTAGACTGGGAGTGAGCACCATGGTGGACTGCGGGTGTCACAGGGAGCACTGGGAGTAGCCGAGCTCACTGCTGGCAGAAGAGGGGGCCCTGCCTTCTGCTTTCCTGATATTTCTGCTTTTCCTACCCTGTAATGGAGTTGCTCTCACCTCTCAGTTTCTCATAGTACGGATGGCTGTGCAGAGTAGGGGTGACTCCTGTGCAGCCAGGGTCAGCAGTCCAGTACCTCCTCTCGTTGGGAGTGGGTGGGAATGCTTGGCTATCCTGGCCTGTGGAGGTGAGACCGTGGGAGGTGTGCAGTGTGTGAAAAGGCACCGAGGAGATCCTCAGGCCATGGGCGCAGGGCAGTGTGGGAGCCAACTGCACTTAGGCAGGATCAACTCGGGTTGCATGTGCTGTGGGTTGTATGTTCTCGAGTGACAAGTCACGAAAGAAGAAGACTTCTTGTCATGTGGTATAAAGGATGTGTCCTGTCATGGCTGTTGGCGTTGACCTTGGTCACATGGCTGAGGCAGTGCTCTGCAGGCTTCCTCACCCCGTGGTCACTGCTGTCCTGTCACACGCCACAAGGTGGGAGGAAGCTGCATCCTGACGCCATCTCATCCCTTCTGTTTTCTTCTGCACCTACTCTCTGATGTTTGCTTGTTTCCCAGGTGTCCCCAGGGCGTCTTCACGCATCCATCAGCACTTCAGTGTATACCTGAGAGTGCTGCACTTACACCTCTCCTGATTGTTAGAGGTAGACATTAGATGCGTTTCTCCCACTCCTGGAGGACACGCTTTCAAAAGCACTGCCCTGTGTGTGTCTCCGCTGTGCCTCATGCAAAATTCTCACATTTAACAAAAACTGCAATAGTCTTACGTTTGTAAGATACTGGCCACAACCCTTGTGACAGGTGACAAAAGTTCACCACTTTTCACCCCTATGGTCTCTTAGGAGGCAGACTTTTTTTTTTTAAGTTTTTTTTTTTTTAATTTGACAGGTAAAATTACAGACAGTGAGAGAGAGAGAAAGAAAGGTCTTCCTTTCATTGGTTCACTCCCCAAATGGCCGCTATGGCCGGAGCTACAAAAATTGGAAGCCAGGAGCCAGGTGCTTCCTTCTGGTTTCCCAGGCGTGTGCAGGGGCCCAAGCACCTGGGCTATCCTCCTCTGCCTTTCTGGGCCACAGCAGAGAGCTGGACTGGAAGAAGAGCAACAGGGACTAGAACCTGGCGCCCATATGGGATGCCGGTGCCACAGGTTGAGGGTTAGCCTAGTGTACCATTGCACCGGCCCCAGGAGGTAGACTTTCAACAGAGGCACATCTTTGCCAGGGGACTCGGTCTCAGTTAAAACATGTTCTCCTATGTCCTTCCAACATGCAGCCTTCCCCGCCCCATTCACTTCCAAAACCAGGAAAGGTTCCTAATGATGGGAACAGGGAGGTCTGAGGGCAGCTGTTCCCAGCCCCCGCCTTCCTCCTGGGGGAAGAACACAGCCCCAGCCCGCTCCTCTGCCTGGCTCTGTTGGCCGCCCCTGACTGCAGCGTCTAACCCCAGTCCTGGAAAGTGGGTGAGGGGAAATGAATCTTCCTGGGTGCATGGCTGAGAAGGCAAGGCCTGCTTCTGGCTCCTTAAGATGGGGTCTTTTGGAGGGAAATTAAAAACAAATGCTCTAATTATTGTACCCCAAGGTTATTTTTCTCTGAAACTCTAATTCTGTGGTTGAGAAGCAGAATTTGTCACTTTCGTTCTCAAGGGACAGCACCTTGAACACGGATCACCACGGGACTTCTATAGCTTTACTCAAACCCTTTCAGTTCTGGTGAAACAGATGTGGCATCTTGCAAGTTAGCAGCTTCCCCTGCCATCTGCATCTATTACCATACCTCACCCAAGAAATGTCACGTGGGAATAATGGTACTCTCATTTCCATTATGATTTCATGCATTTTCCTGTCTTAGTTCTTACACCCCAGATTTACAAGGTGATACAAAAATCTTACAAAGAACGAGAACTTAGAGTTTTCGTAATGTATGCTTCACACCGAGTATGTGTCCCTAATGTTATAAAAAAAACTCAAAAGACAACCCACGTCAATGTACTACTATTTTGCTTGGACAAGCTAGTTTGCTTATATCAAAAACTCCTGTTCCCCTCCTGCATGAGAAAGGAGAGCTCCTGCACCCAGTGTTTCCCTTGATAGGTCTGATTTTGTCTTCCAGGTGTTTCCCCTTTGTTTTCTCCCCGCTGGAACCAAAGAAGCATCCCTGTCACTCTGTGGTGCACTTGGAGCCATGATCAGAACACCTGCCATGCTGCAGGAATGGAGAGCCCTGCAGTCTGGGGGCCGGCACACAGCACACCTCCCCATCACACCGTAGGGAGTTTACCTCCTTTCCACTTTCTCAGCAGACTCTCCCTCACCTCCTTGTTCCGGAGCATGTAGATGAAGGGGTTGAGAACGGGGGTCACCACGGTGTTCAGGATGTGGATGGCCTTGCTCAGGTCCAGGGCGTTCTTGATGGAGGTTCGCACATGCAGGAAGATGGTGGACCTGTACCACAGGAGGACCACAGTGAGGTGGGAGGAACACGTGGAGAAGGCCTTGCTCCGGCCACTGGCCGAGGGGATCCTGAGGATGGTGCTGATGATGTAGACGTAGGAGACCAGGGAGATGAGGCATGAACTCAGGATGACCACACAGGCGATCACGAAGGCCACGATCTCCACGGCTTGTGTGCTGGTGCAGGCCAGGGCGATCCAGGGCGCGATGTCACAGAAGTGGTTGATGGCACGGGGACCGCAAAAGGACAGGCTGCTGACGAGGGCAGTGGGTGCCACGATGGGCAGGAAGCCACAGGCCCAGCAGCCCAGGGCCAGCAGCAAGGAGAGCAGGCTGCTCATGATGGCCACGTAGTGCACTGGGATGCCAGCACCACAGGCGGTGGCCCTACCCACCAGCCCCCACACTCTGTGTTTAGACTCTGAAAACTTGATGCCACAGCCAGCCCTTTGCAAGAGATTAGGCTAATTGGAGACACTAAGTTCTGTGAGCCTCGTATTCACCTAACACACAGACCAAACCTCCAGATTTCTGCAAGTGTGCACTTGGCCTAGAATGGAGAATTCTCACACTCATGGGAACATCATTCTTCTTCTTAGATTAATTAATTTATTTTTAAGGCAGAGTTGGAGAGGGAGAGGGAGAGGGAGGGGGAGGGGGAGGGGGATGGGGAATGGAAGGGGAAGGGGGAAGGGAAGGGGGAAGAGGAGAGGGAATGTCCATCCATTGGTTCACTCCCCAGTTGTCCGAAAAGGCCAGGGCTAAGCCAGGCTGAAGCTAGGAGTCAGGAGTCTCATCTGGGTCACCCATGTGGGAGGCAGGGCCCCAAGCACTTGGGCCATCTTCTGATGACTTTCCTGGGTCATTAGTAGGGAGCTGGATCAGAAGTAGAGCAGCAAGGAGAGGATCCAGCATGTATATGGGATACCGGCATCCCTGGTTGCAGCTTTACTGCTAAGCCACAGCGCCAGCCCGGAGCCCAACCATTTTTAACAGTGCAAAGTGGAGGAGATGGAGCAGTCCTCATGGCTGCATCATAGAGCCAATGAGTTCCCGACCCATGAGTCACAGTGCCTGCCCATTTCTGAGAAGCCTCAATGGCTTCCCACTTAAAAGCTAAGCTGCAAAGCCTTGGAATTGTTTCTCCTTAATCACAGGGATGGCATCAAATAGCTTCAGTTGGATCTACAATCAGGCAGGACCATGACCTTCAAAGGAAGCCACAGCTCCTCTTCCTTTCTCTGTCACACTCGGGAGGCTGCTGAAAAGCTGCAGCTGTGACCAGGAGTAAATTATGGAGCTAGGTCTGTGGGGGCGGGGGGTTCAAAAGTGTTTCTCTGACTTCTCCTTGAATGCCAGTCATGGAGGATTGATTGCAGTCGCCCTACTTAGAGTGACTACCTATTTTATCCATGAAATCCCAAGTTTTCCATCATGCAAATATTTCATTGACATTTATTTCAAAGTTATCCTAGTTTATTGCTCAATTCAGTCTTTATAGTTATTCTAAATTTAGGAGGATGGGACATAATGGGCTGATTCTGCTGTAAATTAAGTATTTCTGTTGCAGATTAAGGTGGAAATACCATCCTGAACCTGTATATCAAAAACATTAACGAATGACCATGCACACAATTGATTTGAAATTGTTTGTATCACCTGCTACAAGCAGCAGAATGTTAAAAGGTTATTGAAAAGTATAGATAACAATGGTTTAAACTGTTCATGTGATCGAATAGTCTATTCTGGGGTCACTGGTACCAACAACACTGCATTACTTTTGGTGAATCTATGCATACTATGAGGGAAAACATTTATTTACATACAGAATGTCAAGTCACTCAAAATCTTCTTTCTACCTAGTTATGTTGCATGAGGGTGCTGAGCTCGGAGTAGGATTGTAGGATTTTAGGAACTCAGCAAACAGAAATGAGCACCTGGTCGTCAGGGCCAGAGTTACATGGACTGCACGGAGAGAAAGACAAGGCTGGGCAGGGTTTGCCAAGAGCCTCGGCACTCTGGCGCCCGCTGTTGGCTTCCAAAGCCCTCCAGTGGCAAACTCAAATGTTCCCCCCCCACTGCTGTAAACACAGTCCATGCAGGCATATTGATCACTGTTTTGCACACTCCCTGAAACTGCCCAGGACGCCTGCAGGCCTCAGATAACACAGACTGCAGACTCCTCAGCTCACTGTGCTGCTCAGCTCCCCTGCAATGCCCTTCCCTGGGGTCCTCTTGCCCCCTTCTGTGCCTAGTGACCCTGGCCCCAGGGTCCTTGGGCTGGGGGGTGTCCTGCTAGAGGACACCCATTGGCTCCATTAGAGCCTGTGGAAACATCCTCCAAAGGCAGTGTTGTGCTGCCTCATCAGTGGGCAAATTCCCCAAAGTCACAGCTGGAAGTGACAAGAGGCCCTGTTTACAAACATCAGGATTTCTTTCTCACTGAAATGTAACACAGCTGGTGAATGATCTGTTAAACAATGGGGAATCAATGAGGAGTTTTAATCCAGATATTTCTAGTTGCCTGGAAGTGAGTGGGAAAGGGTTGGTGTTAGGAGGGGCTGAATTCAGAGCAGGTGAGGAGTCCTCTGGTTCCTCTGGTGTTCCTGACCTGCTGGTCCTCCCTCCATGTTCCTCCTTCCTCTGTCTCCCCAGTTCCTGCCGTGCCCCCAGGTGGCCCAGGCACTCCCTGCTGCTCCCTGAGTGCAGGTGGAAGTGCTGTGTAAACACAGGGCTCTCCAGGCAGTGTTGAGCCAAGTTTATGCCCCAGCTTGTGCTTGGCTGTTTGAGCTGGTCGTAGTATGAATGAGCCATTCTTTATGATTCTGTATGCGTCTCTCCTCCCTTCCATACTGGAGGCCACACTGAAGCCGAGTCTGCCCTGGCCCCTTCCATAAGACTGTGTCCTTGGGATGGGTCTGGCATGTAGTAGGGGATTGAAAACATTTTGGGCCGGCGCCTCAGCTCACAAGGCTAATCCTCCACCTGTGGTGCAGGCACACCGGGTTCTAGTCCCAGTCAGGGAACTGGATTCTGTCCCGGTTGCCCCTCTTCGAGGCCAGCTCTCTGCTGTGGCCCGGGAGTGCAGTGGAGGATGGCCCAAGTGCTTGGGCCCTGCACCCGCATGGGAGACCAGGAGAATCTCATGGCTCCTGGCTTCGGATCAGCACAGTGCACCGGCTGCAATGCCCCAGCCAGGGTCTCTCTCTCTCTTTCTCTCTCTCTCTCTCTCACTGTCCACTCTGCCTGTCAAAAAAAAAAAAAAAAAAAAAAAAAGAAAGAAAGAAAGAAAGAAAGAAAACATTTGTGGAATTAATGACCAGAGCAATGGGCATGAGAAGTCTTCTCAGCACTGACAGAATCAAAGAAAATACTAAAGGGTCTCGGTTTCCAGTGCACATCTTTTGCCAGCCAGAACTCACAATAGAACACAATAACTTGCAGTTTCCCTCTCACCCCTATAATTGCATTGAAAAAAGATATTAGAAATTCATTCATTAGAAGTTATTACACACAAATACTTGGCACTTCAAAAATACTCATCTATTCTTCCTTGTGCCTAGTAGATATTGTGGATAAATGCCCATTTCACACATATTCTTTTTCATTCCTTCTTTCCATAGCTGTTTAACAAACACCAGTGTCCCATTAGGGTCAGGTCTGCAAGGTCCTAAGGATTTCCCAACAGTTCTTAGACGTTATAGAGACTTTTGTACCTAAGGCTATTGAAAGAAAAGAGGAATCCCGTACAATCTGAAGCTCACATGTGTGTAGTCACAAGGCCCTGGAATGTTACCATCTTGATTCCCATTAGATGGTAAAAGAAAGCAACCAAGGATAAAATTTCCCCCAGCATGGTTTAACAGAGACCATTCACCTTTGATCGGTTGTTGGCCAGAGACCCCCGCCAGCAGTTGCTCCGCTCTGACCTGTGGGGTCCATCCTGGGCCCACAGGGACATCAGCAGAGCTTCTGTAGCCACCACCCCAGGCCTCACTCAGTCCATCAAGTGTCCTCTGCAGCTTTCCTTATCAAACAACGGAGCTTCCTCTCACTCCAACTCTGTATATACCACACTTCCTCCTCACAACTTTTCTAACAGCCTCTTTGAAGTCTTTGTTCCTCAAGCTGTAGATAACAGGGTTCAGCAGTGGGGTGACCACAGTGTAGAAGACAGAAGCAATCTTGCTGATTTCTGGTGACAGCTGGGCACAGGGGCGCACATACATGGAGATCATAGTGCCGTAGTAGATGGTGACAACAGCCAGGTGGGAGCCGCAGGTGGAGAAGCTCTTCATCCGGCCAGAGGCTGAAGGGATCCTCAGGATGGAGGACACGATGAGCACGTAGGACATGAGGGTCAGGAAGAAGCAGATGCAGAGGACGGCAATGGACAGGACGAAGATGGCCAGCTCGGGAACACGGACACTGGAGCACGACAGCTGCATCAGTGGGTGGAGGTCGCAGAAGAAGTGGTTGATCTGGTTGGGGCCACAGAAGTCCAACGTGGAGATCATCAGGGAAGGCAGAAAGCCCGTGCCAGCGCCCATCAGCCAGGAGGCAGCCATTAGCTTGGTGCAGGTCTCGGGGCTCATGAGGACAGGGTAGTGGAGTGGGCGGCAGATGGCCAGATAGCGGTCGCAGGCCATCATGGCCAGGAGGAAGCACTCGGTAGCCCCAAAGAACACGAAGAAGTAGAGCTGTGCCATGCAGGCGGAGAAGGAGATGGCCCGGCCCCCCGAGAGGAGGCTGGCGAGGAGAAGGGGCACGGTGGTGGACGTGTAGCAGATCTCCAGACAGGAGAGGTGTTTGAGGAAAGAGTACATCGGAGAGTGCAGCAGCTGCTGCTGGCTCACCACAGCGATGACAACAACATTGCCTGCAATGGTGAGAGTGTAGACAGCCAGGAAAATGGCAAAGAGCAGAGTCTGCCACTCAACAATGTTCTGGAACCCTAGGAGCTGAAACTCAGTGACAGCGGACTTGTTCGGGGGCATGGCCATTGCCTACAGGGGACAGAGAAATTGGGGAGAGGCACAGAACACAGAAAAGACGCACAGAACACAAAAGATGCTGATAATATTCATGCTTGGAACTCCAGACAGGATTTCTAATAGTTGATGTCTCTGGGTACAGCTTTCCAGAGGCATGAACCTATAATTCCATGTCTCTTTAACAAGATACAGCTGAACATGACTAAGACCACAGAGGGAGACTGTGTAAGTGCCGTTTTGATTTAATTAAGTAGATAGAATTAGTATCAAGATGGGGTTGGTGCGGATCTTCCCAGAGCTCACACAGGCCAGGGAGCTGCCACCCTGCTGAACCCCGACTCCCGGCTCACCCTTCCTAACACAGAAGCCCCTGCCTCTTGCCACTTGTGATTTTGCTGGGGTTACCTCCCAGGGCTGACATTACCTCAAATCTCATCGGGATGAGGGAAGCACAGAACTCTGGCTCCCAGGAGGCTGGGTCGGCATCAGTGCCACGCAGTGAGATGCAGCTAAGCTCCTGTTTTGCAGCTTTCTTTGAAATTGTATTAAAATAAACAGAATTAAGACAGTTGCTGTTCTTCCATGCAGTCTTACATGGACGAAGCAGCCGCTGACTTCTTGAGAACTCTGTCTTGGTCACTGTTGTTACTAGTGTGGCACACGCTTGCCTCTTGGGGCAGAATTAGTGACAGTTTCCACACCGACAAGCAAAGGTGAGCTGTGCCCCCATAGCTAGGGCTCATTTCCCAGCCTGATGTCCGCAGCCACAACAACCAGACCTGGAGATCTGGGCTGTGGGACGCAGCACCCAGCACGTGCACTACAGGCTGAAGCAAGCTCCTCCTTCTCCCTGGAAACCCCCTTTCCCCCTGCCAGTGCACAGAGCCCTGCGTTGCCCCTGCCCCGGGCTCCGGGTTACTCTCCTCCAACCTAACTTGCACTAGGCTTCCATCATCAGATCTGCAGTTTGCCATCTCCTGCTGGTGCTGGGTTTGGTTGAAGCAGCTGCCTCCCTTCAATAACCATGGGGCGCCTGGGGACCTGCCCTTGAGAGCCCTGCTCCCCAGACACTCTCCTGTGAGCTGCCAATCAGGTGCATGAACAATGAGGTCGGCCTTCCGAGACTTGAATCTGCCCACCAGGGACAGTGGCAGCTCCCATGCTCTGCTGGAAATAGGATTGGAAACACTGAACTTAGGACAGGCCCCCGGCAATGCTGAACTGGAAATTGAATCAGACAAGAGTGTTCCTCCAAAATGAAAGAAGTAGGCAGTTAGTGATGGAACAGTTCTGACGACCAAACATGTAGAAGTTACTCTTCACTGAGTAGCTTCTGCCGCCACACTTTACAGGGGTGGCTGTTTGACAACTGTGTACACCTAGGTAAACTAAATAATTCATATCACCGGGAAAACTTAAATTTTGAAGACCCAATCTGTGCTCTTCTGGAATAGGCACAAGAAACCTGAATTTTCTCTCCAAAACCCTTTTAGTCATTTTTAAAATATTTTTTTAAAAACATTTATTTGAAAGGTAAAGTGACAGAGAAAGAGGGGGATAGATAAGATCTTCCCTCTGCTGGCTCACTCCCCAATGCCCACAGCAGCCAGGGCTCTGCCAGGCTGGATACAGGAGCCAGGAACTCCATCCAGGCCTTCCAGATGGGTGGCGGGGGCTCAAGGATTTGAGCCATCATCTGCTACCTCCCTGGAGCATTAGCAGGGAGCTGGATGGGGAACATGGAGCAGCAGGGACTGAAACGGGGTGTTCTGTGGGCGGGGACAGCCTTCCTGTGAACACCACGGCAGCCGGGGTGATGGAGCCTCGGAACTGTCAATCTTACTGATTTCTCAACTTGACCTTCATAACCTTATTGTTAACTTGTTTTAAGTAACTGCATAGTAATTAATAGTTGCATTGAAGTAAAAATAAACACCCAATGATGCGTAGCACACAAAAACAATATATTCCCTGATATCTTTATTCAAACTTTATCTAAAGTGATATTCCAAAACTCTTCTTTTATATTTCTCGGTAAAGCTGTTTTGAAGGTGCCCTTCACAGGTGCATTATTAACTTGTGCACAGAGAAATCTGAAGTCCTATAACTATCTTTTACCACGGTATTTTTACCCAGTCAGTTACTGGCATTTATGCTAATAATGGCTGCCAGAAATCATTAGAACATAAGAGAAATGACCACAGTTCCCTGAGATCACAGCCTAACTTCACTGTAAAATATAGAATACTGCCATTTGTGGAGCATTCGTTGAGTTGGTTTTCAGGGTTGAGTGGCTTGCACACATGACCTCACCTCTCACTGGTGGTCTGCGTGTCCAGTGTCCACTTAGAAGAAGGAACTCAGAGGCCCAGAAAGAGAGTGATTGGCTCAAGGCCACCAGATCAAAGTACCACAGCACCACCAGTCCCAGCCAGAACAGCTGGCTGTCGGGGCCATACGTGGGGTCTTTGAGGAAGAAGCTAAGCATGGATTTCAAAAATACTTGCACCAGAATGGGCTCATTCTGTTCCCAGGAGCTCTTTAAGGCAACTTCAGTTTGCAAACACAGGTCCTCGTTTCATCTCTAGCCACAGCAAAAGGTGCTTGCTCTCAACGTAATGAAAGGCAAGCCATCTGGTGCTCACCCTGTGAGCACGGGGCCTGCAGACTGCCTGGAGCTCCTGCCTCGGGTTCCGGATCCATGCTCCATGAGGGGTCCAGGTCCATGCTCCATGAGATCCCAGGTCATCAGTGTGCAGTCCATGGACAGCATCGTGGCTTTCGGGGTCGTGCTGGGAGAGGCATGATGGAGGCTGGGGGTGCCGCCTCCATTGCAGACAAGACAGCTTGAGAGAGGAGAGAAGTGGTTTTCAGGGAGGAATTACGACTGCAGTTTCATCCTAAAGTTAAAATGCCATGGACAGGTGGAGGCTTCAGGAAAATGTATTTTGGTCCAGGAAAAGGAAGAATGTTCTGGAACTGAGGCTCCACACCCCTCTGGAGCTGTGGCTGTGCTGTGTTGATCAGGGAAGTGATGTCTTAGAGAGGCAGGTGCCGAAGTGCTTCCTGAAATCTAAGTCTATTCTAATTTCATACACAGAAGCGACTGCACTAACTTGCAGGCGTAGCTGCCTGAGGAGGAGCAAAGTCCATGGGGTGCTGCTGTTTTTGGCCTGCATGCTGCGGGTCCAGTGGCCACACGCTGAAGTGGGGGGCTCTTGCTGGGGTCTACCTAAGGAGCTGCTACACCGGGAGACACAAGTCCAAGACAGCCGTGTTCTGAAGGTCCAGAAGAAGGCAAAACCCCTGCCACCCATGTGGGAGACCACGGTGGGGCTCCTGGTTCTGGGTGTTGGCCTGGCCCAGCCCTGGCTGTTGGGAGCATTTGGAGAGTGAACCAGTAGATGGATGATCTCTCTCTCTCTCCCTCTCTCTCTCCCCCTCCTGCATCTTTCTCTTTCTGTTGTTTTCTTTTCTTATACATAAAATCAAGAACAGCAACAAGGAACAATAATCAGAGAAGTGGGGCACAAATGGAGAGGACCCCAGACAACGAAGGATGGCATGTGTGTGTAGGGAGTTTAGCTAAACTCTTTGGGAGGCTATGTTTGTAAACGTTGGAGTCAGGAAGGGACGAGGGAGAGAGGGTGTCACACATGGCTGTGACGCCCGACTCATACCCTCTCATTAGGCATCCAGGCCTTGAAGCTGGCTCTGATCACTTCCTCTAAGCCCACGTGTTTTAGGACTGGGCTACATGTGCACAGAGATACCCCAGAGCTGAGAACCCCGTCAAGCAGCCCGGGGTCACAGAGGGACCCCAGAGCTGAGAACCACCTGCCAGCGGCCTGGGGGCACAGAAGGTGGAAGCCAGGCTGGAGAAACCAAAAAACAGGAGTGACAGTGCCCGGAGCACCCATGCCTCTGCAGGACCCAGAGCCTTACACA